GGCCAAGGTGGGTGAATCACCTGAGGTAGGGAGTTCGAGACCAGCCTGACCAACATGGAGAAGACCACATCAGACGATGTGGGTATAGCTGGGAAGTGGGCATTTGAAGGAAGGGGTGGGATTTTTAGCATTGGAGGGGTGTGTCCAAGGGAACAGAGGAGCATTAACTTGCAAAGAAGTGAGGAGGGGGCTTGGCAGCTGCTGGTGGGGTCCAGTGTGAGGGAGGAGGAGAGACTGAGAACATGAGTTCCAGCTGGTCCCTCACGGTCTGTTCGACCTTGGGTAGAATCTTTAGAGTCTCTGAGCCTCACTGTCCTTATCTGTGAAATGGGCATAATTAAGGCAACCTCCCAGAAGTGTCCTGAGTTCCCACCACACAGCACTGAGCACATAGCTGGCCACCTCTCATGTCCCCAAGCCAGCCCCTCCACTCTCCCAGCCCCACTACAACCCCACACGAGCCCTAGCAACATGCAGGCATTGGGAGATTGTGGCCATGTCCCCTGTCCCCTCTGTGTCCTATTCCTTCTTGCCTCGTGGCGCCCAGAGGCCCAGCTCAGGCACAGGTGGATGACTTTATTCACACTATATTGTTCGTGGTGGATATGCTGTGTATTCTAACTGTGGAATTTTGGGGGAGCTCCGGGAATCCATCCCTGCGGCTGTACCAATGCTGCTTTTGTAGGCTCTGGCCCTGCCATCTCTGAGGTGGCTTGCATGGCAATGCTCTGTGCAGATGACAGCCCCACAGCTGCAGGAAGGGCCACCTTCTCAGCCACAAACCTCTGTCGGGTTGTGATCTTCCTGTTGCTTGTGTTTTCTGGAAAATCCAGGCCGCCGAGGGAAGGAAGGTAGGTCTGGTGTGGAGCTACATAGGTGGGTTTCAAGGTCTCAGCTGTGCAGGCATAACCTCAGGGCTGCCACAGGTGGGATGCTGGGTCCTCAAAGGTGTGAGCAGATGAGGGTACCACGGGGCATTGGCAGCTGCAGGAATCCCAGCCGCAGAATGTGTAGAGTCAGCAGTTAAGCACAGGCCGGGCGCTCGGGCTCACTCCTGTAATCTCAGCAGTTTGGGAGGCAGAAGTGAGAGAATCACTTGACCCCAGAAATTTGAGACCAGCCTGGACAACATAGTGAGACCTCGTCTCTACAAAACATAAAAAATTACGCCAGGTATGGTGGCTCACACCTGTAATCCCAGCACTTTGGGAGACCAAGGCGGGTGAATCACCTGAGGCAGGGAGTTCGAAACCAGCCTGACCAACATGGAGAAACTCTGTCTCCACTTAAAATACAAAATTAGCCAGACGTAGTGGCACATGCCTGTAATCCCAGATACTCACGAGGCTGAGGCAGGAGAATCGCTTCTTGAACTGGGGAGGCGGAGGTTGTGGTAAGCCGAGATCATGCCATTGCCCTCCAGCCTGGGCAACAAGAGCAAAACTCCATTTCAAAATAAATAAATAAATAAAATTTTAAAATAAAAAATGAGTTGGGTGTGGTGGTGCATGCCTGTGGTCCCAGGTACTCGGAGGGCTGAGTGGGAGGATTGCTTGAGCCTGGGAAGTTGAGGCTGCAGTGAGGTGTGATTATGCCACTGTACTCCAGCCTGGGTGACAAAGCAAGACCCTAGCTACAAAAAAAAAAAAAAAGAACCAGCACAGTGAGGCCAGGACTCCGGGCTCAGGGCTGAACAGGGCCTTAGGGATGGAAGAACTGAGACGGAGCCCCACAAGCAGAGGGAGCAGGAGGAGAAGCAAGGCCTCTGCGCTCCACCCAGTCCCTTCGCACATGAGATGCTTTCTCTCCTTTCCACCAAAGCCTGGAAAACGGCATTATATTGAAGGAAGATTCTTCTTCAGGGCTAAAAAACAAACAAAAACAGACATCAGTAAGACACAGCGGTGTATGAATTCCCTCTTGCCTTTGCTTGCATACCGCTGGTGACGGAGAGCTCACCACATGACGAGGCTGCTTTTCTTTGTCTGCTCTCGGACACTCTGGCTGCGAGATCAGTCTGCTTTCTGCGGCACCTGGAACCTGTTCCTCTTCTGACCCCATGAAGTCGTACGGTGAAACATGTCATGAGCGCTGGGGAATAGAGGCCCTTGTGTCTTTCCTTCAAGGGCTTAGGAATATCTCTAGGCCTTTCTGCATGCTCTCCCATGCTGGGTTCCCTAGCCCCTCGGAGTTCAGCCCTGCAGACAGACAGCCTCAGGTCCCAGGGTGATCAGAGCTGTGCACTGGCCATGGCCATTCCCTCTCCACTTCCAGGATCACTGAGTGTAGACTTGGTTCACCTCATTTCGCTCTTTCTTGTTTAAAAGAACGCTTAGGAATTCCCACTTTCATTCCCACTTTCAAGAGGTGACTGCATTTGTGTTTTGTGTATAAATGTTGTTTCTTTCAGCAATGTACATCTGATTTTGTCTCTTGACTCACACGTTAAGAGGCTACGTAAGAGAATGCATAGAGATGTCCATTAAGTATTATTATATCATGGCACTGCAGCCAAGAGGTCAGGACCAACAAACAGCTATTTTCTTTGCGGTCTGAGAATGAGGAGTGTAATATCGCCCTTGCTGTTGAGAACTTGCCTGGGCTCGGGAATGGGATCAATTTTGTAAAAGACCTTCTTGTCTTCTAAAGAGAGCATAGTGCCTTGATTTATGATGTACTTCTTCCTGATCTGCTAGTCCACCTTATTAATTGGGTTGCTCAGAGCTCTAATTTCTCTGTTTGGTCATGGATGTTCATAAGAGGGTCACTAAAAGCTCCAGCTACATTATATTTCTGTTTCTCCTTGTTTCTGTTGCATTTCGGACATGGTCACATCATGTACTTGTTTGCTATGATAATTGGAAGAGAAATGGAATGTTTTCACTATTTACTGTAACTTTCAATCTTGTGGAGTCCCCATGTTACGTTCTCAATGCTTTTTACTAAAAAAAAAAAAAAAAAAATTACTTTGTTCTATTCCCTGCCTTTCTAGCACAAAATGTGCCTGATATACCAAAGCTTATGCTGTCATTTTACTCTGTGTCTTTTCCTTGACAAAAGATGATCGAATTTTTTAAAATTGCTGGTTGGTTTTAATAGATTAACATAGGGAGTATTAATAATTGTTTATAATATTTGCGTAAACCTCTGTGGGGTTGCTCCTCTGCTTTCTATGTTGAGATATTACGGTTTTTTGATTTTTGGTTTCTACTGTGAATTTTCTCTTCCTTTTGTCCTGTTAAAATAGAGAAAGTAATTTAACCTAAATATTCAATTTGGAAAATATTTACGTTTTAACTTCTCGTTTCTATTGATAGCTTGCCAAGCTTTGGGGGAATTAGGTTTGAAATCTCTTTTCTCACCGTCACCCACTCTTCAGGGTGAAGATGGCACTTTGTCTCTTTTGTGTTGTCCTTTCCTCCTTATGTAACACACGTTTTTATGATGTGATGGCTGACCTGTGATCAGAGGAAACTTGTTTATTTTTCAATTTTGTTTATTTTTCAATTTTTTTTTTTTTTTTAATCTTGAATCGGGTTCTTGTTGCTGTTCTCTCATCATTTGGGTGGACTTGCTGTCCCACTTGACATTTCCACATTTCTCTGTCACCTCATGCTTTGCTCCCAAGTCCCATCTTGAGATGCTCATCTCAGGCCCTGCCAGGTCACGCCTCATCAGCTGAGCTTCGGTGAATTCAGTGCGTGTCTTTAAATTTTGTGTTAACCTTCTACCTGCCATGCCTCAAACACAAACCCCGACCACAGGCTGTTTCTTTGATGTAGAAGGAAAAAATTGAAAGGTATCCTTACTGGTCTCCTTTTCCCCCGCCAAGCGTTTTATATATATATGTATGTATGTATATATATATATATAATCTCAAGTTTTCATATGATCATTAAGTAATTAGAAAAACACACCAAAAAAAGAGAGAGATATAAAGATAAAAGATTTTTAAATCAGCCACCATCCAACTGCTAGAATGCAACCACTCGTTGGCATGTAGAAATCTTTCTTTAGGGGTTTCTTTTTCCCCTCTATGCGTGGGCTTTTAAAATTTTGATCACAGTTGAAATCATTCTGAATGTCTAATTCTGTAGTTTGTGGGTTTGTTACTTAACATAGTCAGCATAAACATAACAGTCAGACAGAAAAATTTTCCATTGAGTAAGTTTACCATAGTGAAATTAACCTCTTGTTGGCATTTAAATGTGTGTATGTATTTTTTACTATTAGAAAAAATGTGATGTGGTAATACGTTGAGGCAAAGAAGAAGAAGAAAAATGTCAAGGTGGACATATTTTTGTACACAACTTTTCTTCTTTCATATGATTTACTTAAGGCGAATTCTCAGAATCACTGGATGGAAGGCCTATGGTTTTCATGGCTTGTAATGGAAGTTATCAAATCCCAAAAGTTGTGTGCTAATTTGTATGCTTACCAGCATATTGGTGACTGGTTTCACAGAACCCTTCACAAATTCTTTGTTAAATTTGATAAGCAAAGATGTTATCTCTTTATAAATCCTCTTCTGGGAACTGCCTATGTCATTGCTCGTTGATCTGTTTGTTGTTGGTCTTGATATTATTCATTTATATATACTCTTCATAGAGAAAGAACATCATTTGTCTAACATTGGTTGTGTTTTGTTTCTTCGAGTATATTATTTGATGTTAAGATTTTTTAGCAAAAAGAATTTTTTTTAATTTCTCTGCCTCCAGACCAGTCCTGTTTATTTTCTGTTTCTTTGCTTTTCAGTTTTGCTAAGTTGACAAAGAGCTTTTCCCTTTAGTGATTTTATAAGTTGTTTATTAAATTTTCATCGAGTTTTTCTATGGTTTGATTGTTTTGAAATTTAATTCCTTAATGAATTTGAAATTTATTTTGAGATGCTGTGTAGCATGAGACTCTAAGTTGGTTTTTACTCCCAAGTAGTTTTTTTTTTAATTACTATAATTAAATCTGCACAGTTGATTGACTTTTTTTTCCTATTTATTTATTTTTTAGAGACAGAGTCTTGTTCTTGTCACCCAGGTTGGAGGGCAATGGAGCAATCTTGGCTCACTACAACCTCTATCTCCCAGGTTCAAGCGATTCTCCTGCCTCAGCCTCCCAAGTAGCTGGGATTACAGGCACCCACCACCATGCCCAGCTAAGTTGAAGATGGGGTTTCACCATGTTGGCCAGGCTGGTCTCCTGACCACAGGTAATCTGCCTTGGCCTCCTGAAGTGCTGAGATTACAGGCGTGAGCCACCGTGCTTGGCTATTGACTTTTTTTTTTTAAAGCAAAGAGTGGGGTACATCTACTACAGTCCAGGCATTCTGATGCCACCTCTGTTATTAACTGGAATCAAATTTTAAAAATTTCTGTGATCTTGAAGGTCTTGTTGAAGTTTTAGGGGGCTTTTGTTTTTCTTTTAGTCACTAGATTTTTCAGGAAAAATTCACCTGCTTTATATGAGGAACGCACCAAAGGGCCACTTGCAGTATAATGAAATCCAAGTTCATTTCCTACTTTTTCCCAGTATTTGAATTTTTCAGGAGTAACATATTCTTCAACCTTAAGGTGACGCTTTGTTGGCTGCATATATTGTCCTAAAATCAAGCAGTCTACATCTGCCTCACGAAGTGCTTTCATTGTTGCATATACTTGCTCATCATTCTTGCCTAAACCCAACGTTATAGATGTTTTAGAAATAACATCAGGCTGAACCTTCTTGGCATGTTTCAGTACACGCAGGGACTGATCAAAATTGGCCCGAGGATCACGAACTTTACTCTGTAATTCTGGGACTGTTTCTACATTATGTGCATACACATCTAATCCTGACAGAGCAACTTTTTCTATTGCTTTGAGATTGCCTCGAAAATCAGGGGTAAGGCATTCCACAAGGATTTCTGGATTCCTTTCCTTTAAATATGATACAGTTTTTGCAAAGTGTTCAGCTCCCCCATCGGGCATATCATCTCGATCCACAGATGTCAGGACAACATAATCCAGACCCCACTCTGCAATTGCCTTTGCAGTATTGTAGGGCTCACTGGCATCCAGTGGAGGAGGATTTCTTGCAGTCTTAACAGAACAAAATCTGCAACCTCTTATACATGTGTCACCCATCAACATGATCGTGGCTGTGGCAGTGGCATATTTTCCACCTCCCCAACACTCTCCAATATTGGGACATCGAGCTTCCTCACATACTGTATGGAGATTTAAATTCTGCAAAGTATTTTTCAGTTTATTGTAATTTTTCCCCATGGGAATCTCTGTCTTTAGCCATGGAGGTAGTCTTAACCTTTCTCCTTTCTGGCGTTTTAGGTTTCCTTTATATTCATCCCAGATGCTCTTGTCTGCAAGATCACCAGGTACAAAATCTTGAAGGTCTGGTCCATTTTGTAAAAGTTCCGTTTCTTCATCTGGCAAGGAACTTAACAATCTGACTGGGCTGCATAAATATCTCCCAAATACCCGGAGCCCCAGGGTGTGGGTGGCATCCCTGCAGGGTAGAGACATTTCCTTTATAGGACTAGTGCAGTGGAAGGGTTGAGGGATAGCTAACTGCAGGGAAAGGACCCCAAATTGTTAATTGACAGTCTCAACATAACTTCTTAACTAAGCTTTCCTTTTGTATTACTGATTTCTTGGAAATGGCTCATTTATCCTTGTTCCTGTTAAACGTGTTAGGGCATTTTCTGAGATTTCTGAATATTAGTAAATGTCTGATTTCAACAAGAAAGTTCTTATTATTTTACCATTAAATACAAAGTGGCCATTGGTGTGAGCGAGCAATTTTCTCTTTGTAAAAAGCACTTTCCTATTCCATTAGTTAGATAACTCTGAAAAACTGTTGATACAATTGGATGACTTTTTAGTTTTGCTTTAATGATGTGATACACAATATTAATTGATTTCCTAACACTGAAACTATCTTAAATTTCTGTAGTAAATCTGATTTGTCATGATGATTTATAATTATAATGTACCAAATTCTACCTGGTAATATTTTAATTAAGATGTTTACATATGTATTCATGATTATATTTGAGCAAGTTTGTTTCTTTTGTGCTGAGTTTTGATATTTGGATAAGTTAGTTTAATAGAAATTCATTAATATTATGTTCTGAAGTAGTTTATAGGGTACGGGGGTTATCCGTTGCTTGAAAATTTGAAATAAGCTAGAGCCTATTTTAAGAGTAATATTTGACAATATTCTCAGTTTCTTTTATGGTTATTAGTCTAGTCAATACTTTTATTTCTTCTTGTGTCAAACGTTGTATAGATTGTGGTAAATTAGGTTTTTGCCCCCAAATCAACAACTACGTTAAGGTTTTTAAACAGATTGACACACAATGCAGTTTCTTGCTATTTTTCCCCTCTCTCTAACTAAGCTTAATGTCTTCTTTCTTATTTCTAGTTATGACTCTCTGAGTCTTCTTGATCATAGTTGTTAGAAATATATGTATTGCTCTGTTTATTGTTTCTTGTCTGAAGGAATCACCTATTAAATTTGTTAAGTCTGATATTTTCTCTTTTCTAATTCCTTTATTTCTCCTTTTATCTTTATACTTTTTCCCTCATTTTCCTTAAGAGTTTATTTTTTTTCCTAAATGCTCAAGTTAAGTGCTTAATTCATTTATTTAGTTTCCTTAAAGAAAATTAAAGCAGTTAGGGCAATGTATTTATCTCCGAGAATAGATTTTGGCTGTATCCTGTCAACTTATTTTTTTTAAACAACCAATCCAAAAAGTTGTTGCTATTCTTGATTACATCTCATGTATTTGGCTTTGTAGTTCTCACTTTATTTTTAAATAGTCATTGTCATTATTATTATTTTGAGACAGGGTTTATATAAACAGGGTGTCACTTTGTTGCCCAGGCTAGAGTGCAGTGGCATGATCACAGCCCACTGCAGCCTCGGCTTCCTGGGTTCAAGCCATCCTCCTGCCTTAACGCCTGCCTCTGGGTAGCTGGCACTATAGGCTCAAGCCACCACACCCAGCTAATTTAAAAAAATTTTTTTTTTTTTTTTTTTTTTTTTTTTTTTTTTGTAGAGATGGAGGTTTCACTATGTTGTGAGGTTGATCTTGAACTCCTGGGCTCAAGCGATCCCACCTCCTTTGCCTCCCAAAGTGCTGGGATTATAGGCATGAGCCACTGCGCCTGGCCGGGCTGCATTTTTATTTTCTAGGTTTTTGTGTGTGTGTGGTCAGAGTATAGCCAACATAATTTCTGCACTGTTTTTAAGGCATGGTTTTGTTCTTGTAAGGTAGATAATTCATTTTTAGCCAAGTATTTCTTGGCTGCTTGAGAAAAAAAAATGGATTACCTATTTGCTTAAAACCAAACCCAAGGCCGGGCGCGGTGGCTCAAGCCTGTAATCCCAGCACTTTGGGAGGCCGAGGTGGGTGGATCACGAGGTCAAGAGATCGAGACCATCCTGGTCAACATGGTGAAACCCCATCTCTACTAAAAATACAAAAAATTAGCTGGGCATGGTGGCGCGTGCCTGTAATCCCAGCTACTCAGGAGGCTGAGGCAGGAGAATTGCCTGAACCCAGGAGGCGGAGGTTGCGGTGAGCCGAGATCACGCCATTGCACTCCAGCCTGGGTAACAAGAGCGAAACTCCGTCCCCCCCCAAAAAAAAAAACCAAACCCAAGAGCCATTCATTAAACTATATTAATCGTATTATTTATATAATTCTGTGTCCTTATTTATATTTTGCCTATTTGTTTTGTTCTACTCTACAGTATATAAAAGTCTGACACTATAATTTGTTTTTGCCAATGGCTCCTTGAATTCTAAGATTTTTACCTGATGTAATTTTGTACAACACCATTCGGTGTATAAGATTACTATATTTGTCCTCACCATTGAGTTTTTATTTTATTCTTTTTTTTTTTTTTTTTTTGGGAGGAAGCTTCTCCCTCCACCACCAGGCGCTAGGCTGGAGTGCAGTGGCGCAACCTCGGCTCACTGCAACCTCCGCCTCCCGGGTTCAAGCAATTCTCCTGCCCCAGCCTCCTGAGTAGCTGGGACTACAGGTGTGCGCCGCCACGCCCAGCTAATTTTTTTTTGTATTTTTAGTAGAGACGGGGTTTCACTATGTTGGCCAGGATGGTCTCGATCTCTTGACCTTGTGATCTGCCCGCCTCCGCCTCCCAAAGTGCTGGGATTACAGGCATAAGCCACCGCGCCCGGCTGAGTTTTTATTTTATTCTGTAAAAATAAGCTTAATAATCCTGATGAGCAATTTTGTTCTGCAATTCTACAACGCTAGTTGTAAATATTGCCTCTCTCTCTTTTGTTTATATTTGTCTGTTCTATCATCACAGGACTTTTTTTTTTTTTTTTGAGACAGAGTTTTGCTCTTGTGGCCCAAGCTGGAGTGCAATGGCATGATCTCAGCTCACTGCAACCTCTGCATCGTGGGTTCAAGCAATTCTCCTGCCTCAGCCTTGCGAGTAGCTGAGATTACAGGCATGCACCACCATGCCTGGCTAATTTTTTTTTTTTTTTTTTTTTTTTTTTTTTTTTAGTAGAGATGGGGTTTCTCCATGTTGGCCAGGGTGATCCTGAACTCCTGACCTCAGGTGATCCACCTGCCTTAGCCTCCCAAAGTGCTGAGATTACCAGCATGAGCTACTGCACCCAGACTGTCACAGGACTTTTATGTGGAACATTTCTGTGTCATTTAAGTGCACCTTTTATAAGAGCAAACACTTTTATTTTTTAATCAAACTGAGAATGTTAGTAAAATTTGAATTTTTCACACTTATTGTTGTAATTTCTGTGCTGTTTCTTTTCCTATTATATTAACTCCTTTGCTATGTAGTTGGTTTTGTTTCTTTTCATCTTCTTTAGTAATTTTGAAGGTAGGCATCATATTTTTAATAGTGGTTACTTTAAGGTTTTCAAAAATCTGACAAATATTTCCGTAACTATTGAAGTAAAAAAATAGAACAGAAATATTAGCAATAGAGCCGTTTGCTTCAGCCCAGGCACTCACTATTACTCTCCATTGTCCCCACCCCCTACAACACAAGAACGTTCTTCCTGCTTTGTTAATTTATCCACAGTATTACAACTTGTCTCTCCCTAGGGACGTGGATCATCCCTTTATTTTTTTCCTAGAGAGAGGGCCTCACTCTATCACCCAGGCTGGAGTGCAATGGCATGATCATGGCTCATGCAGTCTCAAACTCCTGGGCTCCAGCGATTCTCCCACACAGCCACCCAAATAGTTGGGGACCACAGGCATGAGTCATCATGCCCTACTAATTATTATTATTATTTTTTTTGGTAGAGATGGGGTTTCACTATGTTGTCCAGGTTGGTCTGAAACTCCTGGGTTCAAGTGATCCTCCCACACAACCTTCCAAATAGCTGGGGACCACAGGCATGAGCCACCACACCCTACTAATTTTAAAAATACATATTTTTTTGTAGAGATGTGATTTCACTATGTTCCCCAGGCTGATCTCAAGCTCCTAGGTTCAAGTGATCCTTCAGCCTTGGCCTCCTAAAGTGCTGTGATTACAGGTGTGAGCCACTAGTCCAGCCAGATAATCTCTTCTATGTTTGTCTTCTTTTAATTTTAAATCTGTAACTCTATTCATCATCTTACGTCCCTTTCCATCGTTTCCTGCTTTCAATTCAATTCTCAGTCCCAAGTTTTCTACCTTGATGTTTTCATCCTTACACTCTTCTTAGTCATTATCCTGGAGGCCTAAAGTTTTGAGGTGACTATTTTTCTAGAGGCCCCATCCCCCCGAGAGTTGCTTTCTGCACTCTTTACGCAGGAGTACCTGGTTGGATACGAAATTCCTGCATCCCAATTTTTTCCCTCAAACCTCTTCTGGTGTAATGATTTTTTCAGGGATTTCCAAGGAACTTGGTTTGTTTCTTCATGGATGTTTGTGAGGCTCTGTCTTAGTGACATTTAAACATGGCAGCGGGACATTCAGAGGTGTCAGCAGGGCATGTAGGAGTGAAACATGGCACTTCACCTCCTGTATTGTTCTCATTTACTCCACAGTTCCATTTAGCCTCACCTCTCAGCCACCGTGCTGTTGCTGACTCACATGGTTTTGGGTCCTTTTGTTCCATTCACAGATGCTATTTGCTTGACCCATGACCTTTGCCTACTCAGTGCTGTTTCCTACTGGAGAGGCTGGGATGAGGCCCCATTCAAGTCCTCTAGGTGTGAAGGCGCCCACCCATCCGTGCTGGGGATGGTAGAAAGTCAGCACTCCACAGATGGCGATGCTGGGATGGAGACTCGGAACATCCCCACTGCTGCCTGTGACGCCAACCAGATCCTGACATCAGTGGCAGCATTGGGATGGCCCCTTGGCAGCTCTGCAGGGGTGTTGCTGAGACCTCCCTGGAATTCCAGAGAACCGCTGCCGGGAGCTCCAACCACAGTCAGCGCAGCTCTGCTGCTTCAGGTCCATGGTGACGTTGATGCTGACGCCACTCTCCTTGGGCTGCTCCTAGCCAGTGCTTGAGCCGGGCAGAGACACTAGCCTGGGGTGATTTCTGATGACATGGGGCTCCTCCAAAAGGCAACTTTGCTCAGAAATGCCC